TCACATGAAGTGAAAGAGGAGTTTCTGTTGCCTGCAGTGACCTTCCCACCAAACACTGAAGACCTGCCCTGTGCAGTGCAGAAGTGAAAGTTTCTCAGAGTTAAGATGGCAAAATCCAATTAATTAGGAAGCACTGAGCAGCAACGTGACAGGATAACCACCAAACCCTCGTCTGTTCAATTATCATGAGAAAAGGACACAATTAAGAAAGAGCTGTCCCCAGCCAGGATGGGACCACAAGGGCTTTGTGTGTTTTAAGGCTCCTCTCCAAGTTAAAATAACAAACCAAACAGAAAAACAAATCGACCCCCAAAACTTACCAGCATCTTTATTGATCTTTTCTGACTCCTCACATGAGCATACTGCAAATTCAGCTTCTGCATCGTGCCAGCTCTGATACCACTTAATTGCTGGGGGTGTAATTAAAACGCTGCGTCACCAGCCATGAACAGCAGCAACACGTCCCTGTGCCTGCTAAAGGCAGCCAGGAGCTCCCCAGACAACCTGCAAAGACTCTAGAGAAGTGATATAATATCTCACAGCATGGCACTTACGTGCTTTAAAGTGGTTTACATGGATAGAGCAGGTCATCAATCCCCAAACTCAATTCCTTTTTTAGCAAGATGGAGCAGGGAAGCACCACAGGGTTTGTTCACGTGCAGGAGCTCCTCACCCCCCAGCCACACCTGCATGCTCAAAGCATCAACACTCAGAAAAGGAATATGAGCTTCTAAAGTTCTCAAAATGCCTGTTTAAAATTTTTCCTCAGGTTATGTTGGGAGCTTTTCACCAGTTCCTTTCCACCAAGATTGCTCAGGGACACAAAGGGCACAGCTGGGAAACCTCCCAACGTGCTGCCACGCTTGACCCAGCCTTCAAAAACGTTTCTGGTACCTCACTGGGAGATGCACATGTGTATCCACCACGCCCTGAGGTGGCTGTGGGCATGTTCTACCTGGTCCTTGCTACACCCACCACATAGGACAGTCTGATCTGGCATCCCTTGGTCCCTTCCAGGCACAGAGGGCAGTTCCTCCCAACTTGGCTACGCCAGGGATTGCTCAGAAGCTGCAAGGCTTTGTCCCTGTGCAGACACAGGACAACCAAATTCTCTCTTTGTGCCTTCTGGAAGAACAGATCAGTGTCTGGTGGCAGAGAAGACAAGACTGATAAGCAGTTGCCTGAACGAGCTGGAGCTGCAGCCAAACATCACAGATACAGCAACAGTAAAGCCCCCATGGTTTATTCCCTGTGCAGTCAGGGGGCTTGGAGCAAACTCAGAGTGCAGAGGGCAAATGTGGTCTCCTGAGAGCAGAACAACTGAGATCTGCAGATCTCTTCCAGCCTTTTCATCACTGGGTAAAGCCATTGAAAGGGAAGATAAAGCCAGGCTTTAAGGAGCTCAGAGACCCACGTCAGGCCCAGCAGCAGCCTGTAAATGAGGTGGTAGCTGGACCTTCTCTAAAAGCCTGGAGTGTGAGCACCCTGCACATGGCACAGGCTGCAGGAGCACAGACAGACAGACAGACAAGGCAACAAGAGCATCCATCAGACACAGAGATCTCCACACCAGAGATCTCCACAGCTTCTCCTACACTGCTGCTTTTATCCTCCCTTTTCAGAGGGCCAGAGCTGGAAACAAAAGAACAAAGTGCAGAAAGAACAAGTTGCTGAACCAGGCCAGCTGCCCAAAATGAAAAGGTCTGAGCCACATCCGTAGTGTCAGCAAGAAAGCTGTGTGGAAAAAACCCAACTGCTTGACATATCGAGTGCTGAGGTGAGATAATGAGCTTGAGGAGAAAGCTAAAGGGGAAAAAGGAGAAATGAAAAGATGCCCTGATGAAATTATTTAGAAATATCCGTCAACAGCAGCTCCTCAGGGAAGGTTTAAATGCTCTGCCTGAAGGAAGGGAAGGGAAGGATGGCAGGTATGGGCTGGTAAAGGGCTCTGGCAGCACTTGAATTCCTTCCCAGCATGAACAGCTGACTGTTAGTGGAGACAGTACACCCAAAAAAGAGAAATAATTCCTTATCCCAGCAGCCCTTTCCTTCTCAATAAGCACATTTCATGCACACCATGGACTTGTATCATGTGCTTTACTACAAATACCCAACCTGGGGCAGCTCCAATGCTTTGGATTTCCCCATTATGCCTACATGGAATAGGTACCACATTCATTCCTGGAATAGTGGCATTATCATCAACAACAAAGCTTGTGATCCCAGTTTTGTTCAAGTCAGGCACAGGGTGGGATTTCTGGGGTGTCCTGTGCAGGGCCATGATCCTTGTGGGTCCCTCTCAGCTCAGGACATTCTGTGGTTCTGTGATTCTGAAACAGCACAACCCAATATTTTTATTCCCCAAAGCCCGAGGGATTCCCAGATACTTCTGTACTAATTATTTACTTCCTATAAATTTTAGTTTTCAAACAGCTTTGCTCAGACAACCACAGCAAAGCAAAGTGGGCTGTATGTGGGAGGGCTAAAGGTCAGGACAATTATTTATGGGAGGTTTATGCCTTTGTTGCAGGGCTTGATGTGTCATTATTCTTGCAACTACTTTTCAAAGGTATTATTTTCCTAAACACAAATCCCCTTTCCTTCTCTCAAGGCCCACAATGTTTCTAACTGAAATTAAGTTAGTGCTTCACAAAAGCAAAACACTGTAATTTTTGAACTGTATCACTTCAAGTTGTTTTATTTTTATGCTCACAAGAGAAAGAAAACCTTTAGTTCCTCTGAGCTTTTGTCATGACAAACCACAATGATAATTACTGGGAAGTTGCTGTTGGTAAAACCTCCCAATCCAACTGTCACTGGGAAGCCAGACAAACATTCCCAAAATAACAACTAAATAATTGAGATTACTGGAGTCCCAGAACACAATCCCTTGAACAAATACCCACCAGCCAGCCCCTGTCAGGATTTCCTCTCTCTGGTTGTGTGACCAGCATGATTCATGCTCTGAGAACAAGGTGGGAGGTTACTTCATATAGTTATTATCCAAAGGCCACACTGACTATGAACAGTCTGTGCAGTGACCCATGAAGATGGTTTTAGTTAGAACAGGCTTTAATCACAGGATGATTTTAAGTACCTGGTGCCTAATCTCTTGAAGTTCTCTTGTTAATAGAAATGGGGAAACTAAGAACTCACTTTGCCCTTCCAAAGGCAAATTTTACAGAGTTCAGAGTAATTTTGTCCTTTCCCCACTATTCTCACTTTGAAAACCATCTTTTAAGAAAACCAGGTCTTTTATCTAACCACAATTTAGATGATGATTCAATGACAAAAACAGCATTCTGTGCCTTTGCATGGAAAACACAATGCTCACACCAGCCATGTGTCAGCCTGAACCCCCTGAACAAGCACTTTAAGGCCACAGAGCTTCAGAGAAAGCAGAAATATCTTATTTATCCACTCTGCCATTTAATCCTCTCCAAGTCCCTCATATTGCAGAGATGCAGAAATGAGCAGATTAATGGCACATGTCACGTTGCTGAAGGGCTGATGTGCAACCAGAGCCCCCAAAGCCAACACAGCAGCAGCTCTGCAGAGAAGGACAACACAGGACCAACACAGGCTCAATGATCCTGCTCTTCCTTACCTGGGATCCTGCACACCCGCAGGTGGGAGCTTGTAAATTAAGTAATAGAACAAAAGAAATAAATAGTTTGGCAAAAATTACAGCTGTGTTTACAGAAGGAAGGAAGGAAGGGAACGAGCACAGTGTGCTGCCAGCAGTACAGGAGTGCACATATTTAGCCTGACACAGGCTTGAGTAGAGGCAGAGATATCAGCTGGTAACAAAGAACAAGCCACAAGTGCTTTGTATCAGTTGATGAGAAGCCTCCTGAGAAGCTCAGATTAAACAGAGGCTCCCCTCCTCTGCTCTGCTTTGTGTCTCCACAGGGCACAGCCTGTCTCGGAAATGAAATCCTGAAATCAGCTCAGGTGAGGCGCTCAAAGGGAGCAGGATGAAGGCACCTGTGCAGGTACCCAAGGGACCAGCCAAACAGTGGCTGTCTCAGCACCAAGTGACTAATCAGGACAAGCTGCCACAAAGGAGCTCCAACCTCCACTGCAGTGAACGTTCCCCCAGAGCACACGCTGGCCCAAAGACAGAAACGTGACATTTCCATGGACTTAAACAGACAGACTGTGTGCAAGTTATGGATTTTATTTTTGAGAGCTGTATTTCAAAGCACTGTTTTAAAGCAGGGCTTCAAGAACACAGTGATGGAGACAACGAAGGCAGCGCTCGCTTTAGACAAAGGGTGGCTCAATTCTGTCTCAACATTAAACTCTCAAAGTAAAAAGAGATTCCAAAGAAAAATGCCAGTAATAATTTATTTCTAAAGCTCACTGGGGATTCAGGTGGAATTCTAACAGAGTGTTCAGCACACACCTTGTCCTTGTGTCTGCAAAAATACACTCTTTCTGCAAGGTAAGGCTGTCAAAGTGTGGGTACCTGGGGGCTTGGGGGATTGTACAGACGAGAACATTCTCCATTAGAGGAAATAATTCCTCTTACTGCTCCAACTTTGAAGAGCTTTGGGGGCCTTTGAAATGTTGTGAGCCATTTTCTAATATAAGAATCCATAGAGGAAAAAATCCACAGTGTAGGCCAACAGAAAGAAGCATCATGTTCAGTGCTCTGGTCACCTCCTGGTATTAAACCCAACTTATGAGAGGTCTCAGGAGGTCACAAACACTCGTATTCCTTCTGCAGAAATCGAGCACAAAACCCCCCAGCACATTAAGTTCCACCCCCAAACGTTGTTTGCAGAACAGGATGTTCCAGGATGCCTGTTATCCCGCGGGATCTGTCACAGCCCCGTGGCACTGGAGCGCTCAGATCCGCTAGCAATGCACCAGCACCGACTGGGCTGGGCTGGAAGGGACCTTAAAGACCACCCAGTTCCACCCCCCTACCATGGGCAAGGACATCTTCCACTAGACCAAGCTGCTCCAAGCCCCATCCAGCCCAAGTCACCTACCTGGCCCCTCCACCCCCCAGCACCAGCGCTATGGCGTTCCCGGTCAGGACACGGGCCAGGCGGGAGAAGTCGGAGTGACGGTCCGGTGGCTTCTGGAACACCCGTTCATACATCTCTATCTGCAGAGGAGAGGCACAGCAGAGTCAGCCAACAACATCCTGGCAACAGATGCTACAAAGATGAGGGGACTGGAGCACCCCTCTTGCGAGGGAAAGCTGAGGGAGCTGGGGCTGTTCAGCCTCGGGAAGAGAAGACTGAGAGGGAACCTCATCCATGTCCATCAGTGCCTGCAGGGAGGGGGCAGAGATGGACCAGGCTCTGCTTGGGGGGGCTCACCAATGGCACAAGAGGAACAGGCAGGAACTGATGCCCAGGAAGTTCCACTTGAACATGAGGAAGAACTTCTTTGCTGTGCAGTGACCAGAGAGGGTGTGGAGTCTCCTCACTGGGGATATTCCAGAACTACCTGGACACAATCCTGGGTGACTGCTCCAGGGGACCCTGCTTGAGCAGGGAGGTGGCACTGGATGACCCACCGTGGTCCCTTCCAGCCTGAACCTGTATATGATTCTGTTCCAAGTGGGTATCTGTTCTTCAAAGGAACAGAGGGCCAGTGAACTACCCAAACAGTTCTAGAGATCAAGTGCCTCTCCCAGTCTTCCATAGCTGCTGGGAGATTTTCATGGTATTTGCTTTGGGGCTGTTTCTTTCTTGACAAAGATTTGAAGCTCCTGAGAAGCACCCCAGGCTACCTCTGCCTTATTTTTGGCATGGCTTTCGCAAGCACAGGGATCCTCCCAACAAAAAGGAATCTATGGCACATACATACCTTTCAAAGTGACTCTGAGATAGTATTTACTGTCTTCAGGATATCAGAAATCCAAGTATGCATCCTTAAAGAAAACATGGGCCCCTTATCCCTGTTTCCTTTATTAAATTGAGGCCAAATAGATCTAAAGAGAACTCTGTCTGTGTAAGAGCCCATAGCACATCAGAACACCATGGAGTATCATTATCCCAGATCCCTTTGGATACATGGATTACAGGTAAAGTGAGGGACAGCAAGGGACCAGCTACTACATCAGGAATCTCTTACCAGCTTGGGCAGACTCCTTTTGGAGAAGACTCTGCGTGGGCAGTGGAGGTGGAGATGAGCAGAACACCAGCTCCGCATGTTGAGCCATTCCACAGTTCGGGAAGGGAGGGGCCCATCCTCCTTATGGAGCAGGATGAGCTGCTTCTGGGCTCTCACTGCAGTGTTCTCCAGCATCCTCTCCAGCTACAGCAGGTTAGGGACACCAGAGGAATGGGGGGTCAGGTACTGCCTGCTCCAGTGTCAGTGTAACAGGTATGAGACAGACACCCCCCCCTCACCCCACTCCCACCTGAACCCACAGAGAACTCTGCACAGCAAGAACCCCCAAACATGATGGATTCAGACAATTGATTTGTCTGATTTTAGACTCCTGGCACACAAAGATTCAAACCTAAATGCTTTTGACCCAAAGCAGGCCATGAAATGCACATGCAGACACACCCTCTCCATGCAACATGAGATGTTCCCAAGCCATACTCAAGCCTACAAATGTTCAGCGTGTTTTCTTTTTTCCCTTCCCATCAGTTCACTTTTTTCTCCTTGTATTTCTGATTTTGACTTGTTTTCTTATTGGTTTAGGCAACTGCTGGCAGCTGCTGTGCCTGTGCTCCCTGCCTCCCACACCCACAAAGGCTGCACGTGGGACCTGTCCAGGCTCTTTGGAGTCAGACTCAGCACTTCACAGTCCTAAAAAAAAAAACCCACTTGGGATCTTATTTTTAAATTTCTTGTAGAATTTATGTGCCTGGTCAAACTTAGGTAATAAAACATAAAAATAATAAAAATAGATAGTAAAGGAAAAAAAATTACAGCTTACAAGCTGTAATAAAATAGATTAAATTATTCATACACTGCAATTTAGATCTACTTTTTCCTAGGCACACACCATGAATTTCATCCAGGCAGAAAAGAATTTCTCTCTCTCTGTGTGGAGATTCTGTGAAGAAATTCTGGGCAGAAGCTCAAAGGTTCAAAGCAATTTACTTTTGATTTACCATTGGCCAAAATGACTCTTTAGAGGAAAAGAACCTTGCTGGAAACACTCCTCCATAAAACTTGACCTTTCAGGGGGTTCTCATGCAATTCTTTTCCCATTTCTAGCACGCATTTCCCAGGAATATTTCATCATTTACGCTTCTCTGGGCATTAAACCCGGGAAAACTCCTGGGTGTGGAACGACACCCTTTGAGCTGGGCTGCCAGAGGTGCAAAGAGGGGTGTTCCCAACCTCTCCCACGGTGGGCTCCTGGTCCCCCAGCCCCACGATGAGGATGCAGTCGGCCTGGCGGATGCAGCGCTGGGTCCAGGGGGTCAGGGAGCTGTCGGCCTGGTACAGCACGATGCGGTGGATGTCCTCCTGCTGGCCCAGCCAGCTGGTCAGCCTGTACTCATGGATGCTGGGACAGAGTGGGAAAACAAAATGGGGTTATGTCACAACTCCCAAGAGAAAAGATAGGAATCTGACTTGTCACCAACCCCGGCAGAGCTCAAGGAGTGTTTGGATGATACCTTCAGGCAGCCCAGGGAATGGCTGGAGCTGTGTCAGGGCAGGGTCAGGTTGGATCTCAGGAAAAGCTTCTTCCCCCAGAGGGTGGTTGGCACTGACCAGGCTCCCCAGGGCAGTGGGCACAGCCCCAAGGCTGCCAGAGCTCCAGGAGGGTTTGGATGATCCTCTGGGGCACAGGGTGGGACTCCTGGGGATGGGCCTGTGCAGGGCTGAGAGTTGGACTGGATGATCCTTGTGGGTCCCTTCCAACTCAGCATATTCTGGGATTCTGTGAAAATCTGAAGGGCAGAGACCTGCCCTATTGCTCAGCCAGTCTAAGAATCTTATCTGCTCCCATCTCCAGGCTCATGCTTGCTCTGTTTCTCCAGTATTTATACTATTACACACATACACCAAGGAAGGAGGATGCAGTGATGCCTCACTTCACTAAAGCTTCCATGGCATCCCTAAGAATGAGCACACAGTGACCACTTGGAGCAATTCAGCTTTTCCAATCTCACAAGTGATAAACTGACTATGGAAAAAACCCGCACATTTGAAACAAATACTTTTCAAACATTGTTCACAGAATCATAGAATATCCTGAACTGGAAGGGATCCACAGGGATCATCCAGTCCAACTCCTGGCCCTGCACAGACACCCCAACAATCCCACCCTGTCCCTCAGAGCCTTGTCCAAACCCTCCTGGAGCTCTGGCAGCCTTGGGGCTGTGCCCACTGCCCTGGGGAGCCTGGTCAGTGCCAACCACCCTCTGGGGGAAGAAGCTTTTCCTGAGATCCAACCTGACCCTGCCCTGACACAGCTCCAGCCATTCCCTGGGCTGCCTGAAGGTATCATCCAAACACTCCTTGAGCTCTGCCGGGGTTGGTGACAAGTCAGATTCCTATCTTTTCTCTTGGGAGTTGTGACATAACCCCATTTTGTTTTCCCACTCTGTCCCAGCATCCATGAGTACAGGCTGACCAGCTGGCTGGGCCAGCAGGAGGACATCCACCGCATCGTGCTGTACCAGGCCGACAGCTCCCTGACCCCCTGGACCCAGCGCTGCATCCGCCAGGCCGACTGCATCCTCATCGTGGGGCTGGGGGACCAGGAGCCCACCGTGGGAGAGGTTGGGAACACCCCTCTTTGCACCTCTGGCAGCCCAGCTCAAAGGGTGTCGTTCCACACCCAGGAGTTTTCCCGGGTTTAATGCCCAGAGAAGCGTAAATGATGAAATATTCCTGGGAAATGCGTGCTAGAAATGGGAAAAGAATTGCATGAGAACCCCCTGAAAGGTCAAGTTTTATGGAGGAGTGTTTCCAGCAAGGTTCTTTTCCTCTAAAGAGTCATTTTGGCCAATGGTAAATCAAAAGTAAATTGCTTTGAACCTTTGAGCTTCTGCCCAGAATTTCTTCACAGAATCTCCACACAGAGAGAGAGAAATTCTTTTCTGCCTGGATGAAATTCATGGTGTGTGCCTAGGAAAAAGTAGATCTAAATTGCAGTGTATGAATAATTTAATCTATTTTATTACAGCTTGTAAGCTGTAATTTTTTTTCCTTTACTATCTATTTTTATTATTTTTATGTTTTATTACCTAAGTTTGACCAGGCACATAAATTCTACAAGAAATTTAAAAATAAGATCCCAAGTGGGTTTTTTTTTTTAGGACTGTGAAGTGCTGAGTCTGACTCCAAAGAGCCTGGACAGGTCCCACGTGCAGCCTTTGTGGGTGTGGGAGGCAGGGAGCACAGGCACAGCAGCTGCCAGCAGTTGCCTAAACCAATAAGAAAACAAGTCAAAATCAGAAATACAAGGAGAAAAAAGTGAACTGATGGGAAGGGAAAAAAGAAAACACGCTGAACATTTGTAGGCTTGAGTATGGCTTGGGAACATCTCATGTTGCATGGAGAGGGTGTGTCTGCATGTGCATTTCATGGCCTGCTTTGGGTCAAAAGCATTTAGGTTTGAATCTTTGTGTGCCAGGAGTCTAAAATCAGACAAATCAATTGTCTGAATCCATCATGTTTGGGGGTTCTTGCTGTGCAGAGTTCTCTGTGGGTTCAGGTGGGAGTGGGGTGAGGGGGGTGTGTCTGTCTCATACCTGTTACACTGACACTGGAGCGGGCAGTACCTGACCCCCCATTCCTCTGGTGTCCCTAACCTGCTGTAGCTGGAGAGGATGCTGGAGAACACTGCAGTGAGAGCCCAGAAGCAGCTCATCCTGCTCCATAAGGAGGATGGGCCCCTCCCTTCCCGAACTGTGGAATGGCTCAACATGCGGAGCTGGTGTTCTGCTCATCTCCACCTCCACTGCCCACGCAGAGTCTTCTCCAAAAGGAGTCTGCCCAAGCTGGTAAGAGATTCCTGATGTAGTAGCTGGTCCCTTGCTGTCCCTCACTTTACCTGTAATCCATGTATCCAAAGGGATCTGGGATAATGATACTCCATGGTGTTCTGATGTGCTATGGGCTCTTACACAGACAGAGTTCTCTTTAGATCTATTTGGCCTCAATTTAATAAAGGAAACAGGGATAAGGGGCCCATGTTTTCTTTAAGGATGCATACTTGGATTTCTGATATCCTGAAGACAGTAAATACTATCTCAGAGTCACTTTGAAAGGTATGTATGTGCCATAGATTCCTTTTTGTTGGGAGGATCCCTGTGCTTGCGAAAGCCATGCCAAAAATAAGGCAGAGGTAGCCTGGGGTGCTTCTCAGGAGCTTCAAATCTTTGTCAAGAAAGAAACAGCCCCAAAGCAAATACCATGAAAATCTCCCAGCAGCTATGGAAGACTGGGAGAGGCACTTGATCTCTAGAACTGTTTGGGTAGTTCACTGGCCCTCTGTTCCTTTGAAGAACAGATACCCACTTGGAACAGAATCATATACAGGTTCAGGCTGGAAGGGACCACGGTGGGTCATCCAGTGCCACCTCCCTGCTCAAGCAGGGTCCCCTGGAGCAGTCACCCAGGATTGTGTCCAGGTAGTTCTGGAATATCCCCAGTGAGGAGACTCCACACCCTCTCTGGTCACTGCACAGCAAAGAAGTTCTTCCTCATGTTCAAGTGGAACTTCCTGGGCATCAGTTCCTGCCTGTTCCTCTTGTGCCATTGGTGAGCCCCCCCAAGCAGAGCCTGGTCCATCTCTGCCCCCTCCCTGCAGGCACTGATGGACATGGATGAGGTTCCCTCTCAGTCTTCTCTTCCCGAGGCTGAACAGCCCCAGCTCCCTCAGCTTTCCCTCGCAAGAGGGGTGCTCCAGTCCCCTCATCTTTGTAGCATCTGTTGCCAGGATGTTGTTGGCTGACTCTGCTGTGCCTCTCCTCTGCAGATAGAGATGTATGAACGGGTGTTCCAGAAGCCACCGGACCGTCACTCCGACTTCTCCCGCCTGGCCCGTGTCCTGACCGGGAACGCCATAGCGCTGGTGCTGGGGGGTGGAGGGGCCAGGTAGGTGACTTGGGCTGGATGGGGCTTGGAGCAGCTTGGTCTAGTGGAAGATGTCCTTGCCCATGGTAGGGGGGTGGAACTGGGTGGTCTTTAAGGTCCCTTCCAGCCCAGCCCAGTCGGTGCTGGTGCATTGCTAGCGGATCTGAGCGCTCCAGTGCCACGGGGCTGTGACAGATCCCGCGGGATAACAGGCATCCTGGAACATCCTGTTCTGCAAACAACGTTTGGGGGTGAAACTTAATGTGCTGGGGGGTTTTGTGCTCGATTTCTGCAGAAGGAATACGAGTGTTTGTGACCTCCTGAGACCTCTCATAAGTTGGGTTTAATAGCAGGAGGTGACCAGAGCACTGAACATGATGCTTCTTTCTGTTGGCCTACACTGTGGATTTTTTCCTCTATGGATTCTTATATTAGAAAATGGTTCACAACATTTCAAAGGCCCCCAAAGCTCTTCAAAGTTGGAGCAGTAAGAGGAATTATTTCCTCTAATGGAGAATGTTCTCGTCTGTACAATCCCCCAAGCCCCCAGGTACCCACACTTTGACAGCCTTACCTTGCAGAAAGAGTGTATTTTTGCAGACACAAGGACAAGGTGTGTGCTGAACACTCTGTTAGAATTCCACCTGAATCCCCAGTGAGCTTTAGAAATAAATTATTACTGGCATTTTTCTTTGGAATCTCTTTTTACTTTGAGAGTTTAATGTCGAGACAGAATTGAGCCACCCTTTGTCTAAAGCGAGCGCCGCCTTCGTTGTCTCCATCACTGTGTTCTTGAAGCCCTGCTTTAAAACAGTGCTTTGAAATACAGCTCTCAAAAATAAAATCCATAACTTGCACACAGTCTGTCTGTTTAAGTCCATGGAAATGTCACGTTTCTGTCTTTGGGCCAGCGTGTGCTCTGGGGGAACGTTCACTGCAGTGGAGGTTGGAGCTCCTCTGTGGCAGCTTGTCCTGATTAGTCACTTGGTGCTGAGACAGCCACTGTTTGGCTGGTCCCTTGGGTACCTGCACAGGTGCCTTCATCCTGCTCCCTTTGAGTGCCTCACCTGAGCTGATTTCAGGATTTCATTTCCGAGACAGGCTGTGCCCTGTGGAGACACAAAGCAGAGCAGAGGAGGGGAGCCTCTGTTTAATCTGAGCTTCTCAGGAGGCTTCTCATCAACTGATACAAAGCACTTGTGGCTTGTTCTTTGTTACCAGCTGATATCTCTGCCTCTACTCAAGCCTGTGTCAGGCTAAATATGTGCACTCCTGTACTGCTGGCAGCACACTGTGCTCGTTCCCTTCCTTCCTTCCTTCTGTAAACACAGCTGTAATTTTTGCCAAACTATTTATTTCTTTTGTTCTATTACTTAATTTACAAGCTCCCACCTGCGGGTGTGCAGGATCCCAGGTAAGGAAGAGCAGGATCATTGAGCCTGTGTTGGTCCTGTGTTGTCCTTCTCTGCAGAGCTGCTGCTGTGTTGGCTTTGGGGGCTCTGGTTGCACATCAGCCCTTCAGCAACGTGACATGTGCCATTAATCTGCTCATTTCTGCATCTCTGCAATATGAGGGACTTGGAGAGGATTAAATGGCAGAGTGGATAAATAAGATATTTCTGCTTTCTCTGAAGCTCTGTGGCCTTAAAGTGCCTGTTCAGGGGGTTCAGGCTGACACATGGCTGGTGTGAGCATTGTGTTTTCCATGCAAAGGCACAGAATGCTGTTTTTGTCATTGAAACATCATCTAAATTGTGGTTAGATAAAAGACCTGGTTTTCTTAAAAGATGGTTTTCAAAGTGAGAATAGTGGGGAAAGGACAAAATTACTCTGAACTCTGTAAAATTTGCCTTTGGAAGGGCAAAGTGAGTTCTTAGTTTCCCTATTTCTATTAACAAGAGAACTTCAAGAGATTAGGCACCAGGTACTTAAGATCATCCTGTGATTAAAGCCTGTTCTAACTAAAACCATCTTCATGGGTCACTGCACAGACTGTTCATAGTCAGTGTGGCCTTTGGATAATAACTATATGAAGTAACCTCCCACCTTGTTCTCAGAGCATGAATCATGCTGGTCACACAACCAGAGAGAGGAAATCCTGACAGGGGCTGGCTGGTGGGTATTTGTTCAAGGGATTGTGTTCTGGGACTCCAGTAATCTCAATTATTTAGTTGTTATTTTGGGAATGTTTGTCTGGCTTCCCAGTGACAGTTGGATTGGGAGGTTTTACCAACAGCAACTTCCCAGTAATTATCATTGTGGTTTGTCATGACAAAAGCTCAGAGGAACTAAAGGTTTTCTTTCTCTTGTGAGCATAAAAATAAAACAACTTGAAGTGATACAGTTCAAAAATTACAGTGTTTTGCTTTTGTGAAGCACTAACTTAATTTCAGTTAGAAACATTGTGGGCCTTGAGAGAAGGAAAGGGGATTTGTGTTTAGGAAAATAATACCTTTGAAAAGTAGTTGCAAGAATAATGACACATCAAGCCCTGCAACAAAGGCATAAACCTCCCATAAATAATTGTCCTGACCTTTAGCCCTCCCACATACAGCCCACTTTGCTTTGCTGTGGTTGTCTGAGCAAAGCTGTTTGAAAACTAAAATTTATAGGAAGTAAATAATTAGTACAGAAGTATCTGGGAATCCCTCGGGCTTTGGGGAATAAAAATATTGGGTTGTGCTGTTTCAGAATCACAGAACCACAGAATGTCCTGAGCTGAGAGGGACCCACAAGGATCATGGCCCTGCACAGGACACCCCAGAAATCCCACCCTGTGCCTGACTTGAACAAAACTGGGATCACAAGCTTTGTTGTTGATGATAATGCCACTATTCCAGGAATGAATGTGGTACCTATTCCATGTAGGCATAATGGGGAAATCCAAAGCATTGGAGCTGCCCCAGGTTGGGTATTTGTAGTAAAGCACATGATACAAGTCCATGGTGTGCATGAAATATGCTTATTGAGAAGGAAAGGGCTGCTGGGATAAGGAATTATTTCTCTTTTTTGGGTGTACTGTCTCCACTAACAGTCAGCTGTTCATGCTGGGAAGGAATTCAAGTGCTGCCAGAGCCCTTTACCAGCCCATACCTGCCATCCTTCCCTTCCCTTCCTTCAGGCAGAGCATTTAAACCTTCCCTGAGGAGCTGCTGTTGACGGATATTTCTAAATAATTTCATCAGGGCATCTTTTCATTTCTCCTTTTTCCCCTTTAGCTTTCTCCTCAAGCTCATTATCTCACCTCAGCACTCGATATGTCAAGCAGTTGGGTTTTTTCCACACAGCTTTCTTGCTGACACTACGGATGTGGCTCAGACCTTTTCATTTTGGGCAGCTGGCCTGGTTCAGCAACTTGTTCTTTCTGCACTTTGTTCTTTTGTTTCCAGCTCTGGCCCTCTGAAAAGGGAGGATAAAAGCAGCAGTGTAGGAGAAGCTGTGGAGATCTCTGGTGTGGAGATCTCTGTGTCTGATGGATGCTCTTGTTGCCTTGTCTGTCTGTCTGTCTGTGCTCCTGCAGCCTGTGCCATGTGCAGGGTGCTCACACTCCAGGCTTTTAGAGAAGGTCCAGCTACCACCTCATTTACAGGCTGCTGCTGGGCCTGACGTGGGTCTCTGAGCTCCTTAAAGCCTGGCTTTATCTTCCCTTTCAATGGCTTTACCCAGTGATGAAAAGGCTGGAAGAGATCTGCAGATCTCAGTTGTTCTGCTCTCAGGAGACCACATTTGCCCTCTGCACTCTGAGTTTGCTCCAAGCCCCCTGACTGCACAGGGAATAAACCTTGGGGGCTTTGCTGTTGCTGTGTCTGTGATGTTTGGCTGCAGCTCCAGCTCGTTCAGGCAACTGCTTATCAGTCTTGTCTTCTCTGCCACCAGACACTGATCTGTTCTTCCAGAAGGCACAAAGAGAGAATTTGGTTGTCCTGTGTCTGCACAGGGACAAAGCCTTGCAGCTTCTGAGCAATCCCTGGCGTAGCCAAGTTGGGAGGAACTGCCCTCTGTGCCTGGAAGGGACCAAGGGATGCCAGATCAGACTGTCCTATGTGGTGGGTGTAGCAAGGACCAGGTAGAACATGCCCACAGCCACCTCAGGGCGTGGTGGATACACATGTACATCTCCCAGTGAGGTACCAGGAATGTTTTTGAAGGCTGGGTCAAGCGTGGCAGCACGTTGGGAGGTTTCCCAGCTGTGCCCTTTGTGTCCCTGAGCAATCTTGGTGGAAAGGAACTGGTGAAAAGCTCCCAACATAACCTGAGGAAAAATTTTAAACAGGCATTTTGAGAACTTTAGAAGCTCATATTCCTTTTCTGAGTGTTGATGCTTTGAGCATGCAGGTGTGGCTGGGGGGTGAGGAGCTCCTGCACGTGAACAAACCCTGTGGTGCTTCCCTGCTCCATCTTGCTAAAAAAGGAATTGAGTTTGGGGATTGATGACCTGCTCTATCCATGTAAAACACTTTCAAGCACGTAAGTGCCGTGCTGTGAGATATTATATCACTTCTCTAGAGTCTTTGCAGGTTGTCTGGGGAGCTCCTGGCTGCCTTTAGCAGGCACAGGGACGTGTTGCTGCTGTTCATGGCTGGTGACGCAGCGTTTTAATTACACCCCCAGCAATTAAGTGGTATCAGAGCTGGCACGATGCAGAAGCTGAATTTGCAGTATGCTCATGTGAGGAGTCAGAAAAGATCAATAAAGATGCTGGTAAGTTTTGGGGGTCGATTTGTTTTTCTGTTTGGTTTGTTATTTTAACTTGGAGAGGAGCCTTAAAACACACAAAGCCCTTGTGGTCCCATCCTGGCTGGGGACAGCTCTTTCTTAATTGTGTCCTTTTCTCATGATAATTGAACAGACGAGGGTTTGGTGGTTATCCTGTCACGTTGCTGCTCAGTGCTTCCTAATTAATTGGATTTTGCCATCTTAACTCTGAGAAACTTTCACTTCTGCACTGCACAGGGCAGGTCTTCAGTGTTTGGTGGGAAGGTCACTGCAGGCAACAGAAACTCCTCTTTCACTTCATGTGAAATTCTCATCAGCTTTTTTCCTGAGAGAAGCCACGAAGTCACTGTGTTCTTTCCCTTGCTTGAATTAGTTAAGGAAAAATTGACAAGCTGCCAAAATTAATGAACATTTAAATACTCGGCAGCATAACATGGTAATGCAACAGTGGGATTTACTGAGGCAATGTGCTGCAAGGAAGGGATGGTAGAAATAGCACCTCTGCTTTTGGGGGCTGTTTTTAGTTCTACAAAGAACAAGGTCAAATGGCAGCATGGGAAGGTCTGGTTTCCAGAGGAGCTCTGGGAGCTCAAATCCCTTCTGGACTGTCATCTTTTGCTCTGTGATCCACAGAAGCAGAGAGAAGCACAGGGAAAGAAAATAGGGAGGACTGCACAGAAAATGTCTAAGCTTAGTGGGTCTTCTAGGGCCTGATAAAAGTGCCAACTCCTGGGTCAGGACTAAGGTTTGGCCCCCCTTGGGGTGCAGGGAGCTGGCTGGTGGTGCAGTGGTGGGGTTGACATCTCATAGCCCAGCTTTCAGCATGTGGTGCGTCACCTGAGGAATAAAAAGCTGAAATTTGAGGTGGAAACTCTGCTCCAATGACCAAGTGCTGTCCTTGGGGTGGCCAGTTTGCTCCCATGGTTCAGACAACTCACTTTCCAGGCTGTAGCAGGCGAGAGCAGGGTCCTGGTTATGAAACCCTGGTGTTCAGTCTCGGGCAATAACAGAATCTCCTGGGGAGACTGAGTGAAGTTTTATGGTGCAGGTGCTTCAGATTCAGTTCCAGCAGTTAAGGAAGATTAATTTTTATTCCTTAACTGTGACAGGTAACTAATGACAGGAGGCTTTTTACCCTGTCAGTGGGAGAAGTGTGTGCGTGGACGTTGTCTTAAAACTGCCACTGCAGAGCTGCAGAACTTGCAGTGGAGGTGGTGGGTTCCATAAGATAAATTACTGAACCTCAAATACAGGGTTAGACCTGGAAACATGAGGGGAGTTGCCTTTTTAAACCTTTAAACATGACCACAAGCACCCACACAATGTGCTGGTAGGAGAGGGTGAGGAGAGAGGGCAGGAACCTGCTGCCTAAATCCAGAAGGTACCTCCAGGGGCAGCCTTGGAAAACGCTGCCAGGAAGAACAGAGCAGTGTCATTCCCTCTGGGGATCCTAAACATACTCAAGATAGAGATTACAGAAGGGATGAAAGAAAAGCCCATGGGAATTTCCTGGCCTCTTGATGTTCCTCACATACTGGAACACAGTAAATGTTTTTCAGCTCCTTTGCTGGGTTCAAAACTTACCCTGGACTGAGTCTGAGCAGGGGCATCCCAGGGTGTGAGGGATATATATAAATAATGTTTCTCCATACTTCCATTCCTGTCTAGACCATATACAACCTATTTCCCTTTTTTCTTTTCCCACCTGTCTGTGTCTGTCA